ACCTACTGCCTGGGAGAATATTCCTTCCTTGACCTGGGCTTGGAGCTTCAGTTGCATTTGTCATACTTGCAATTATTTCTAAGTACTTTTATTCTGTGTTTAAATAGGTATGGCGATTTTACATTTCTGGAGAAAGGCATTTTCTCTGTTTATATCTGTTACTGGAGTTACCTGAGCAAAGGGCAAAACTATTGATTTGATAATTGCTTCTTCCATCAAAAACAATTACCCTTTCCATCAACATCGAGTTTTTTTCTGCTTATAGACAACAACCAAGAAGTTTTCTTAAATGTTTCTTTTTTTTTTCCTTCTTTTTCTTTTTTTTTTTCCTTATTCAATAAGAAGCTGTAGGAAGTCTAGATGACAATGCTTTGTTTTCTGTAAAAGGTGAAGGACAGTGTTAATAAAAGAAGCAACACTACTTCCACACTTTCTGGAGAAAATAAAGCTAAATTTCAAGAATAACAGGATCAATAGGGGATGTATTTGTTATAGTCTTTGCTTGTATTCCTCTCCACAGATTATCCTGTTTCTTGAGTAATTATAGACATTAATTTAGTTTAATGATTTGTTTATAGATCATGAAAATAAGGAGTACCATCCTTAGAGAAAGTGTTACCTGTCATTAAATCAATGTGCCTTAAAGAACCAAGTCTTCTAGGGGAGCAGAGTGTCCCAGTCACACATAACGTATTATACCAACACTACCACCTACAGGAGTTCAGCAAAAGGGATATGGCACTGAACAAAATGCAAAATAAAGTAGAAATCAAGGCTTTTCCAAAGGATGGTCTGACTTTTCTTAATATCCAGGATTTCTCATTTACCTTTCTTTTTTTTTTTTCTCCTGAGCAACCTGTCTTTTGGAGTAAATCTTTTAGCTATATCAAGAGCTGTCAAGATAATTCTTGCCTCATGAATCCAAACACAGCTGTTGTTGTGCATAGCCATGTTTTGAAAAAGGCATTTATTTTTGCATTGTAACAAACTGTGCTAGAAATTTTGCTCTTTTTCTTGAGGATTTAAGTGTGAGCTTATGCGATTTAAATTAAGACCTCATATGTGTTCATAGTTCAGAAGCACATTTGCAGAAGGACTTGGCTTAGGGAAATGTGCAAATTACTGGTTTTGGCTTATATTTAGGGATAAGACAGCACCAGTATTTTAGCTAGTGTGGTCATTGTATTACTTCCACAGATGTAGTATCTATCTCATTGCTCTGTAGCAAGCTGCTGTTAAGCTGGCGCAAACAGAAATGTCTGAAAATGTGTGAGGGAGATTTTAAAAAATATGTCGTGGCTTGTGGTATCTTCCAGTGGTCTTGGACTTTGAGGGATTCTGTTTCCAGTCAGCCTCAATCACAAACTGTTTTACCTCCATAGACGAAACTGTGAAGTGGTAGCTTTGCAAAGTATTTACGCTAAACCTATGGCATATTGTTACTTTTCCTCCCTTTATCAATTACGTGTTGGTCATTGCTAGATGGAATAGATGAGCCATAAGTAAAAGAGAGGTTCAAATCTGCATCTTTAAAAGAGAGGATGACAGAAAAGTGCTGCATTCTTGTCCTGGGCCGTACTACACTTCAGCATGTACTCAAGCCCAGTTTAATTCAGTGAAGTTTAGCTAGAAGGAAGTTTTAACCATATGTAAAAGGCATGGTTACTTAACGTCCTGTGGAAACCACTCTTCCAAAAAAATGTGTCAAAATGGCAATTAGATCTTCCCTATCACAGTAATCAGCAAGGAATAAAGGAGTTGAGATGTGGTGACTTTTATCCTGCGCGCTCTCATATCCTTGCTGGGATTTTAATTTCCTCTGCAGGTTTGCAAGAGTCGAGTTTCTGAGATGATACCTGTGAGATTAGCACCAAATGCTGTGTGTTTGTGTATTTTTATCACTCAGACTAGTTGGGAACTTCATTCCTGTTTTTGCAGGAAAATTTCAGACTTCGTCCATTGGTGATGTGACCTCTGGAGGTATACTGACTTCCAAACATTTGGCCTAAATAGGAGAACATCTGGATGGAGTTAGTGTGATCACTGTGAGAAGGCAAACTGAGGAGTTTTACTTACTTAGTGACTGTTGTACATGGCTGCACTTCCCACCTGGCTGGGACATTTTCAATCAAGGTATTACTCAGGAAGAACATTCTCATTTTAGCAAAAGGAAGTTAAAGATACCCAGGGAAATGGCACATGCAAGTAATATATTTATGTATTTAATCAACAACATCACTTCATTTTCTTTAGCTTTTGTGTGCTGACTATACGGCTTTCAGATGTATTTTCTAGATGTGGAAGTAAAATCATGAGAACTTTTAAACTGTTTAACAAGTGAACTGTGGAACGAGGCAGTAAAAATCTACTGAAAGAGGAGGTAGACATTTAGACTCAGATGTTGAGCTGAGACAGATAATCGAAGCTCATAATAAAACATTAAAACAGAGAAGTAAAACACACTTGCCCAGAATTGTTCAACAATACTTCCTGTCAGCTCTGAGAAGAGAGCATTTATACCAAGGGATAGAATATAAAGTTATTGTTTGCCATCATGACTACACAGAGTCTTAAGTAGCTGCATTTAGCTTCAGAATATGTTGTATAAGCCTGCTTTCGCTCTAATGATACAGCTATTGCTGTGAAGCAGTGCTCAGGAGGTTATGCTACAAGCTCTGAGCAGAAGCATTTAGGAAGCATGTCTTAATTAGAATTTCAGACAAAAGCAGACTGCTAAAAAAAAAGAAGCAAACCAGTGAAAAAGAAAACCACTGAAACAGTTGTCTGAAAAGCCAGACATCGAAAAACGTCACACAGGTCTTGGTTCTTTCGCAGTGTCCTTTGGGTACTTAGCCCTAATATTCTCACTATCTTCTCTGTATTAAACCTTGTGAACTACTTATGACACCTAAACTGAACAGTGTCAGTATTAATTTACCTGTCCTTGGTGTTGAAAACTAAGCTTTGGGTTGATGTATTACTTTACAATATAACATGGATTAAAAAGTTCTGTTCTGCTTTGATAAAAATAAATGTGTTTACTCAAAATAATTAAAACTGTGCAGCAGAATAATAATAACTATAATCTTGGAAAGTCATCATGAAAATTTGCCATTTTCTGAAAATAACCTCCTTTTCATCTACCATAATAGAGGAAATGCATTTTTTTTAATAAACATGCAGATAACTACCTTGACTTCTTAAGCTTTTGGGCAGTACAAATCTGAAATATCAACTGTACTTCCAGACATCACACACTTCACATTGCTATTGAAATATTTTCTATACCTTATTCTTAAAAGTAGTTCACTTGAGCAGTTATTTATGTCGGTATTTTACAAGTGGCAGAGCATGCAAGCACCCTTGCATTTGTGTCAGTAATTACATGAGTGTTATGCTTTACTTTCTGGAATACAGCTGATGCATTCTGCTTCTTGTCTGATGTTTGAAGAATCAGGGCTGAGTAAGCTTTCTTCTTTTTTTTTTTTCTTTTGTGTGTGTATGTCTTACCATAATTACAGTAGGTGAATGTTGGGCCTACCAGCTCTGAGTTTCATCTTTTCATAAAGGCTGAAAAACAATTTTCAGTCATTCTCCAGCTACTTGCGTTAAGATTGTAACAATGAGTTAGTCAAATACCTGATTTCCTTGAATTCTCTAAAACTGGCTTTAAAATCAAGAGAGAAAACATCCCCTCAGCAGCTCTTTGGGTGTAATTTACTCCATTTGAAAATATAAGCATACTATTTTTTGTTGATCTCTTATGCTGCACTAAGCTTTGCAGAAGAGATTTTACCAAGCATCATTTTCTTTCTGTGCTGATGAACTCATCAGCTGGCTTACCTTAATGCTCCAATGTGATTGTGCTGGTGAACCTCAGCAAACAGCCAGAGACATTACAAGGGCTCAGAACTGGTCTGATAGACTGCCTGAGGGAGATCCTCTGCCCCTCTTACAAGGCCTGTTATGCTGAAGAAATCAAAAATGTGTCACTGTGCCTTTGGTATGATTTTATCTTCAAGCCTGTCTTTTTGCTAAGTATTGCCAGAGCTTTGAGTTGGTTGCATAATGATAGACAGCATCAGTAAGGGACAGTCTGAGTGACAGTTAAATACAGTTTATATGTACACTATGGCAGCATTCCTTGAAAAGTGGTGAACTGAAGAATGCAGGCACTGTCTCTGGAAAATGAGTTCTAAGTTGCTCATAGGGAGCAAGTCTGGTTGAAGAAGTGGCTCTAAACTGTGAATTTGGAGGGTAAGCGAACTCTCAGCGGCTTAGTTGGCTTCGTCTACAGGGCTCAGTGTTTCTGTGTAAAGCTTTGCATAATAGCAAACAGCAACGCATGAGCTTTGCCTGTTTTCCCAGTAACAATGCGGCAGGAGCACCTTTCACATCAAAAGCTGTAATTGACTGTAATGAAGCGATCTGGCATGTGCGCTTATTAGCACAGAATAAGACCTTGTCATGCATCATTTGCGCCACAGGAATCGTCTGTGTCCATGCATTTCGATAACACTCTCAGACATAGGGTCTGGATTTTGAGTGGTCCTATGTGGAGTCAGGAGTTGGACACAATGATCCCTGAAGGTTTCTTCCAACTCAGGACATACTGTGATTCTATGACTTCATGGTCATTTGCTAAACCAAACACTGATGTACGCTACCTAAGTGAACATGCAGGAAGTCCAGCCTAGATTTTGTATGTGGCAAGGCAAAAGGCTCAAATGCTTGATGAAAGACTTAAAAGACAGTTTGTGACCACTTTGTCCAGTTTTGTCAGGTTTCGGTGTTGTTTTCACTTCATTAGTGTGAATAGTGTGAGCTGAATAAACAAGTGATGTGAGTGTGGTGAGGATGTAATTTCCACCCGCCTTTCACCATGGTGAGACCAATTATGTCTTTGTGGTTAGATTGATTCCTAGTTTACACAAGACTAAGAACAGAATCGGGCAGCCTCTTTGGTGTGAAGGGTATATCTAGCATCTTCATGTCGACCAAGATGCTGTCTGTGACACCTGTTTTGTCTTGATCCTTAGGAAATACAGACAAAACTAAAAGGTAATTTGGAATAGTTCTAATTTTCCTGCTCCTGTTGCAGCTAATAAAAATGTTGATTTATATATTCAATGTGATTTGTCTTCTGAATGACAATCTGGAAAACAGAATTTTGGAAAGTAGGACTCATATTTTACTCTTGCCATTTTCCCTGTTCTCCTTTTTCCTTAGTAAAAGTGAAAGCTCTTCCTAAATCCAAATGTACATCTCTCTGCAGCATCCACAACAAACTCCTCCTAATTGCAGCTTAATTCCTTTTAGCATTCTTCCAGAAGACACAGAGGGAAATACTCTTGACACTGCATCAGTGATTTCACTGAAGTTGACTTCACTTGAGCAAAGAGAGTAGCATTGGACTAGTAAATAAAGTTATGAGTATCTGGGAAGAAGATAACCCCAAGAACCTTGGATGTAATAGAATCACAAGGTTGGAATCACAAGGTTGGGAACGACCTACAAGATCATCCAGTCGAACCGTCTCCTCATCACCATTGCCACCACAAGCACTAAACCACATCACGCAGCACGTTGTCCAGACACCTCTTGAACACTGCCAGGGACGGCGACTCCACCACCTCCCTGGGCAGCCATTCCAGTGCCTGACCACTCTGAGAGAAAAAGTTCTTCCTTATGTCCAACCTAAACCTCCTCTGATACAACTTGCGGCCATTGCCCCGTGTCCTGCTAATTATTCTTAGCTTTAATGATGTTGGGATTTATCTTAACACTTCTCACATGTGAATCATTCATCAGATTGCTGATGACATCGATAGTTCCTTGCCTGAATGCAGTTGCAAGTGTGCAAGGATCTTTCCAACAATCACACATGCAGGCAGCTATTCCAATTTTGTTTTCATCCTATGCCCACATGAGGTGATGCTTATGTGACCACATTATATGTCTGTGTGTCTGCCTAAGAAATTTGGAGCACTTTCAGCCAACTAGGACAGTGCTAAAGGTCCCAAAGATTCAAATTTCCTAAACTACTTAGGGAAATAGAAGATGCAATACAGGAAAGAGACTCAGTTACTGTTTTCGTTGAGCGAAGGCTGCAAGGTTTCCCTATTTCTATGGGACACTGGAGAGTTTAGATTATGCAGACAGGGAAACAGCAGGAAACTCTTCAGTCAGTTTTCACCTCATTAAACACAAGAGAATCCAACTCATACGACAGAGGGGTGGTTGGAGGCCAGATTTCATTGCTTATGATATGGTGGGGGAAGAGTTAAATATGACTTCTTGCAGAAAGAACAATCCTGTTACAGCTTACCTCCTTCAAACAAGCAGAGACTAGAAGGGTAGGAAGATGCTGGACTTCACCTTCCACTTTTTCTAACTTGCAGTAAATTACTTCCGTGCTGATTCTAGGTGATATCCTGAAAAAAAATGACACTAGAAAAAGTCATTGGGAAGACATTTTTTTCATCTGGAAAATCTTTTTCACAGAAATGCAAATTTTTAGTGGGTATTTGCCACTTTTAGTGTGATTTTATTTTAAGAAATTAGAAAACAAATATCAGTAAAGCTGGATTTTTCAAAAAGTTCAATAATTGGTGCATCTTAACTGTTTTCGTAGCAGAAACAACAGTCACTAAATGCATGTGATCACAAAATGGGGATGGTGGCACTACAAACTGATGGGTACACTGATATTCTTATAAAAAGTCAAGCACTTCCAAATCCAGGGATTTTTCTTTTTTGAGGCGTGAAATGATACAGACTTGCTTGATTTCTATAACGTCTCTTGGAAACTGAAAAAACTGAAATTATGTCTCTGCTAGAAGAGGAGATACTTTTCCACTTGAAAATGTATTCATCGTTCATGGAAAAAAATGCTGCAAAAGGAAAATGGTCTTAATTTTGGCTAAGTCTTACATGAGAAAATAGGCTTAATACATTTTAAATGTTTTAAATAGATTTAATGTACTGTGTAAATAATATTTAGGATTTCCTGCATGTGGGATATTGCAGGAGGAGGGCAAGAGATAAGAAAACCCTTTTGATTTGTGAAGTTTCCTCTGTTTCCTTCTACCAGACACCCACCCTACTGATGACAGAGGCTGCAGTTTTCTACTATTGGCTTCACCGGGCCATTCTTCAGTGTCTCTAGGCTGCCTGGTTTTGGGAGCTAGAATGCCAGCTAAAATGAAACAACCAGATGCTGAGATTTGGTTATTTACAGACACCACAAGGTCAGCTGTATGAGAAGCAGTCCCAGTTTGCCAGACTCAGGCAATGCAGCCAGGAGCAGCACAGTTGGCAGGTTCAGCTCATGGTGTGGCTGCGAGGAATGCAGCTTCACTTTTTCCATCCTGCAGAGCACTGCGTGGGACACAGCAAGGTTGGCCTGAATTGAGCAATGATAACAGGAAACCGTATGATCTGATTTGGTACAAAACCTGTTCTTGTCTTCGCTGCTGGTTCTTTGCTTTATTAGTCACCCGAGTCTAGAAGGCTCTTGAGAGTGTGGTGAGGAAAGTGGTGGTACTTGCACAGGATGTAAAACTTCACTAGCAGCACCTGAAAATGCACAAGCAAAATGGATTTTTGTTCCCTTTGGGGTCTGAGAAAAGTTGGTCTTCTAGGTGTGTTTCTGAGCCAGTAGCTGAGATTAAAATTCATTGTACCTAGATATTTTACAGTTGTGACCTTTGCTGCTACTGTCGAGCTTTTCTTTTTTCTCACATTTTTCTTCAAAGAAGAAACATTATTCTCTGTTGCAACTTCCTACCCTAGCAAAAGTGTGAAATGAGCCTGAGTTTGCATGTGAGAGCATATCGCGCCTGTAACAGGACAAGTGTGAGAGCTGGCGGTAGTGCATGATCTAGGTGAGACAAAGTGTCTTGCTGCAAAGCTGAAGAGGTGGACAACTTGTGAATTGCTATGGCAAAGTTCGTCTCCCGACTCTCAGCATTAGACAAGCATGCTCTGTGCAAATAGCTGACTATAAATAATTATTAATAGTAATCCACTGTCGCAGCAGAGTTCAGACGTCAGTATTAATGAAGTGAAACTAGCAGCAGCTTTCTGTGTGAACTGTGGCAGTTGATACTAATTGGATGTGAATGCCAATGAGGTCAGATGCATGCAAATGTGGAAGGCCTTTCTCAAACTCTTGCTTCCAGTTTTGCCAGCTATGTCATTTGTATCCAATTTTACCTTTTTCTCCCATCCATTTGATGAGCAGAGTGGTATGGATCAGTCTATGTAAGTGTTCACATGCCAGGAAAAACTGCCTATGTTTTTGGGAAATGATTGGTACTGCCAAGACTGTGATATGGAAAGGGGCAAGAATGCAGGATGGCAGTGTGGCAGAAGTTATGTATGTATTAATTGAAGCGGGTTGTTTTCTGGAAAGTTCAAGTTTGTAAAAATGAAGATTTTAGAGATGTATGGCTGATGAAGCAAAGAGAATTCCTGCAATAAAAGGAGAAATGATCTAGCCTATTTTGAGCTAGGCAGTTAGTCAAAATCCATGGCTGTCTGGGGTAGGAAGAAAAACTTACGTTAGAAGAAAGGCATTTCCTTGCATATAATCCTGCTTACTTACTAAGAATACTTGTGGTGGCTTTGTTCATAATTCAATCTCTTCTCCAGCCAGCTCTTATCAGGCATGTTGCTGTCTCTACTTGTAGGACTCTCTCAGAGAACTCGTGCTGGCTGTCTTCCTGAGGACCACAACCCAGATCAGGCCACACTGTCACTGGGAAATTCTGACTTAGAACAAATGGTGGGGGTGAAAAATGGGGACTGGAGCTACATCATTCTTGCTTCCTCATGTAAATCATGTAATGCTCTATGATTTTCTTCAGCTTTATTCTCTGCTCTCTTCCAAGTTTTCACTTTCTGTCCTCTTGTGTGACACGTGTACAGCTCTGTCTCAGGCAGAGGCAGGCTCTCTGGTTGATGTACTGGCTGCATGAGCACAGCAAGAAGAATCTCACATGAGAAGTGAGGCTGTTGGTTAGCTTTATTACAGCCCTCCAAAAGAAGATACTTGGTTACTAAGGACAATGGTCCTGATATGATTGGTTCCTCTCCAAATAAGAGTAAGTGAAAATGGAAAAAAGGAAATAAGGACATTGAAAACCTATATTGATAGCTGGGCTTTCTAAATAGAATACATGGCTGTTTTTCACAGGTTAACTGTCTATTTTTATACGTCTGTACTTAGGGCCTGATTATGAAGAACCACTCCTGTCTGCAAGCTGATAGAAAAGACAAGGCAGCTAGGTTTTCAGGAGTCTAGGAGGTTTTATTTTGCTGTCCTTTGCTTTCCAGTGCTCAGCCTAGCAAGGGCAAAGTATGCTTATTGCATACAGGAGTTTTTGTTTCAAAGACATACATTTGCATCAGATGTTGGCATTACCTCTGTTTTCTGATTGCAGGTGTGCTCAACTAACACGGCCCTTCTAGAAGTGTCACACCATGCAGTCAGTCAGTCTGTTGATGTCTTGCTACACAATTTCTATTTGGGCTTTTTCTTCACAGCAAAGTTGCAGAAACAAATGGTTTCAATGCACCGTTTCGTGCTTCAAGTTTTTTAGTGAAATCTGGATAAAACTCCTGAGGACTTCTGTTTAGCAGAACCGCCTATCGAGCAAGTAGTTTTCACAGCAGAGTTTGTCTTGCTTCTCAAATGTTACATGTTTGTATGTCTGTTTGGACAGCAGGAAAGGACGCTGTCTTTTTGTTGCCCCTGTGCTGGAAAGCACCATTGCTCACTGTGGGCAAGAATCTTCACTCAGGATAAACCTGGAAACAAGGCAATGTTGGTTTTGTTTAAGAGCACTATTAGAAAACAAAACAAAACAAAGCAACAACAAAAAAACAACAAAAACAAAAAAACTTGGAAAATTATGCTGTGAGTGCAGTAGGAGGAGAAACATCTGCGGAGTGCACAGTGTTTGTGAGTGGCTTCTTGTAAGTGATTATATTGCATTCTCAGACTTAAGTTAGGATTGCCATCTGTCCCTGCGGTACATAAGCCAACACTGGCAAAG